TCAACGGTCAAGATTTTTCTTTCCAAATTGACTATCAATATCTCAAGTTGAACCATCACTGTTAATTATATACTACTGTGAGCATAAAAATAAAAATAAAAAAAATTAAGAAATTAAGTATTAATGCCTAATTGATTTATTTTACAGCAACAACAAAGCTTATCACTTTATAGGAAGATGCTACGATCCTGTTACGAAACCATTCCGTCAGAATTTATAACCGTTAAATCAACTATTTCTGACAGTTACAAAAATTTAACGGTTACAAATTCGTAACAGAACTTTAGCATTTCCCCACTTTATAACAAAAGCCTAAATTGCAAGTCAGATTTTGATTGATTACGTGTTTTGTTAATCCTATAAATACCGAATGCATATACATTAATACATTATTCATTAAACTCTATCTATTTGGTATTAAAACACCACCAAACTCGAAACAAATTCGATTTAAGTGCATGTACCATAAATATACTAATAACAATAACAATAATAATAATAATAATAATAATAATAATAATAATAATAATTAGTATTTATTTTGACCAAAAACCTTCCTTAGTCAAACCTCCACCGTTTTGCATGACCCGTCCACGTGTCAATTGACCTTCCAACTTTACAATTCCCTCCACCTCCTAAAAATATTAAATTCAGTGCGTCCAAAACAAAATGCGTAAGCAGTGACAGCATCACAAAACCCTTTCCTCTCGCCACGTGTCCTCCAAAACCTTATCGCCACGTGTCCCCTTCCTCCCCTGCTCTTATATATTTCCCCTCATTCCCTTGCGTATTAATTTTCACAAATCCCCCTTTTCACCTCCCAAAAAAATTTCCCCAACTTTTTCTTAAAAAAAATAAAAAAATAATAATAAAAAAAGGAAAAAATCGAAGAAAAAATGGGAGCCGTCGATCTTCAGCTGCCACCTGGCTTCCGATTCCACCCTACCGACGACGAGCTGGTGATGCATTACCTCTGCCGGAAATGTGCTTCCCTGTCGATCGCCGTTCCGATTATCGCCGAAATCGACCTCTACAAATACGACCCATGGGAGCTTCCTGGTAATTAAATCAATCTAAAAATAAAACGCTTTATTTGGTAATTTGTGAATTGATTTTGACTAATTGTGTACATAATTGCAGGCCTGGCGCTGTACGGGGAGAAGGAGTGGTACTTCTTCTCGCCGAGGGACCGGAAGTACCCGAACGGGTCGAGGCCCAACCGGGCAGCGGGCCACGGGTATTGGAAGGCAACTGGGGCCGATAAGCCCATTGGACACCCAAAGCCCGTTGGAATCAAGAAGGCTCTGGTTTTCTATTCTGGAAAGGCCCCTAAAGGGGAGAAGACCAACTGGATCATGCACGAGTATCGCCTTGCTGACGTGGACCGCTCGGCCCGCAAGAAGAACAACAGCCTTCGGGTGGGTTGGCAGTAAAGTAAATTTGTTTTTTGGAGAAATAAAAAATAATAATTAATAATAATAATATGATCATTGTGAATTTGTGATTCGATCTTATCTCTTTGAAGATTTGATGGCAATTTTTCAAAAGATAATGATTGGTCCAAAATTTAGGATTTTACGGGACAAATAAATAAATAAATAAAAATCTGACGGTTGAGATTTGATCTGTACAGCTGGACGACTGGGTGCTGTGTCGCATCTACAACAAGAAGGGGGTGATCGAGCCGCCGGCGGAGCCGAACGCGAGCAGCCACGACGTGGGGAGCGGGCTGACGTCGGAGGAGGACACGAAGCCCGTCATCCTGACACCGGTGCCGGAGACGAGGCCGATGGTGTACGAGGACTTCGTGTACTTCGGTCCGTCGGAATCCGTCCCGCGCCTGCACGGCGGCGGTGGAGGCCCCGCCTACTCGAGCTGCTCGGAGC